GCCTCGTGAATGGCGGAACAGAGTGTCTCCCCAGAAATGAGGGGACAAAGTGAATATCATAGAAAATTGAGGTGTGTAGCCCAGGTCCATTTCCATGTTCAATTGTATCTCTACTTTTATTAATTTCTGTATCAATGGACAGATCATAGTTATGAGCACTTACAGGGTAAAGTGTGCAGAAGGCTAGGTCTAGACACCATGGAATGGTTAAATCATGTCCATAAACACTGTACAGTAAAGTCCCTTTCACATGTATCCTTGCACTGTAAGTGGCTAGGCTGGGGATGCAGACCTCTGCCATCCTGAAGTCACACTGTAGGATGGAACCATGAAAGAGCCTTGGCTGCTCTGTGTCTCCTATTACCAGCCCTGAGGCCTGGTTCACCCAGGACAGAGGTAGAATGGGATAGGCTTCTAGTGTGGGGGCAGTCCAGTCATCAAGGACACATGTCACAGGGAACTCAAGATAGCTGGGTTAGAATGGGACCTCACATCAGCAACAGATAAAAGAGCCCAGCAGCCAGGATCCCTGAGTTAGGCATTGGGGTCCCACACCCTTTTCCAGTTGCCTCTGCAACCCCGAGGGAAGGGGAACAGAGCAGTGACCCAGATTAAAACTCTCCCCTGTTTTAACCAGCTTTTTGTTTTCTCCCCGGGCTTGACAGGCCTTTTCTATTCCACACGCCCAACCAACCGGGGTCTGAGACTGAGAGTATCCACACCCTAGTTTGCCCAGTCTGGCTCTCAGTAGGCTACAGCCTCTGTCTCTCAGCCCCCCAGACTTCACAGGAAGATTGAAGAGTCCATTAAGACCTCTACTGTCATAAGACCTGAAAAGACAGGGCATCTATGTCTCAAAGAAGCCGGAGGAGGGAGGCTCCTGTCTCAGCCCCCAAGATTCACCCCTGTCTTGGGGACTGACCCCCCTTTCCTGTCCATTCCTGCCCTGTGAGCCTCATGGCTGCTCATCACAGATCTCTCAGTCTCTCAATGACATCCCAGCCTGCTGTGACACTTGGACCTCTCCCGGTCGGCACTCAGATGCAGCGGGGTGTCCCAGAGCTTGCACTTTCACATTTGAGTTTCCACTCCCCTTTCTGAACTGGTCCTACTGCACTGAAACAAAGCCTTGTGTGTTCACCCCTCCCCCCACCCATCGAACCCACTTCATTATTGGAAGGAGAAACAAGAACTCAAAATAAGTAGACTGGACACTCTCACAGTAGTGTTCTAGGTAGGAGAGGCCCCCGTCTGGGTGGACTGCAGTCATAGAGACACAGGCAGAGGGGACTCTAAGCATCAGGGACTCTCATTCAGAGAGACACTGGTTGGCAAGGATTCCAGTCAGTAGGGACACCATTCAGAAGAGATTCCTGTCAACATGTTTTCTAACCAGTAGTAATCCAAGTCAGCTTGGAGTCTAGACAATGGAGACGCCAATCAGCCAATACTCATGTCAGTAAGATCCTGTCTCCCTTCCTTAGTCCCGTGTCTATAGGCATGTGACCACCATGCCTGGATCATTTCTTTTCAGGGCTGCTGGGATCCAAATGTAGGTCCTCGTGACAAGCACTTTACTGACATTGCTTTGTCTCTATACCCATGACCCTATGTCACTGTTCTACTGCTGTGAAGAGATACCATGACCAAGGCAACTATTGTAAAAGAAACACCCAGTTGGGTGCTTGCTTACAGTTCCAGAGGCTTAGTTCATTATCATCATGGCAGGAGTATGGTGGCGGGCAAGGTGTTGGAGAAGTAGCTGAGAGCTACTATATCTTGATCTACAGGCAGCAGGTAGTGACACACACTGGACCACCTGTCAACTCTTCTAATCCTGTCAAGAAGAACTCCCTCTGACTAAGCATTCACATATATGAGCCAATGGAAGCCACTCTTAGTCAAACAAACACACCCCATAATCTTACAGCATCCTTTACCACAAACCAGCAGCAACACAAGGATGATGCCAATTTGCAGCCACCGATGTGAACCATGCTGCCTGAGTCTGTGAGGTCTTAGCAATTGTGGCTTTGGGTACTTAGATCAACACAGCAGAAATTAATCCCTGAGACAATTCCCCTCTGTGGCCCATTCAAACAGTCACCCACTGCCTCCCCATATATTACTACTACTCGTCTCCTTACACCTGATAGGTGGATTCTTGAGGTGTCTTTCAAGCTTTCTGTTGTCTGGATGCAACTCCTCTAGTTTCTTTTTAATGGGGATAGTGTCTCACACATGGTGCAAATGTAAAGCCCACCATACAAAAATAAGAAAAAACCAATCACCAAATAGCTTTGGGGTAGCATTGAAAGCAAATTAAGGAGAAGCATTAACTTCTAGCCAAAAGAATAACATCTGCCTTTGGGTGGAGATATAAGAATTGGAAGGCCAGCCTGTATAGTGAAACATACTGTCCTCTCAACACTCCCTTCGTAAGGTACTTACGAAGCAGGTGTTTTAAGGAGGAATCTAAACCTCCTACATGAACAACCAGTGTTCATACCCTGGGTTCCTACAAAGCCAACCACACTCTGATTATCTCAACACCTTCACCTGTACAGGTCTAGGGTGGATTTATGACCCTCGGCTTCTCCCAGCTGGGACCAGCAGAGCTCAGACTTCATGTTCTGCTTAGAACTCAGGGCCAGCAGTCACCTGTTCAGGGGGTAGAAGGAACCAGAAGCAAATGCAGGTCTGGCCTGCAGTGTCCCCTGGGAGCTCTGTCTGGTGACGTGCCCTGAGAGAGCTACCAAAAGGAACAGGTTGGAGAAGGTTCTAGTTACCTGCTGGTGTGAGCAGGCAAGTGTTGAGGTTGTGGGCTTACTGCCCTCTAGTGTCAGATCTTAATTGCAAACAGAACTGACAGACTGCCAGGTCAGGTGACTTTTACACCAAGTGACCTGGAAGAGCCTCACCCAGTGTCAGGTCTCTATCTGTGGCTGTTGAGTTTATCTGGTCTGCTTTGCAAGTAAGAGTTATTCATCGTAAAGTCATGGCCTTAACTGCTAGAATTCCTGATTCCTGATTCCCGGAGTAAGGTCAGCCACTCTGAGATTTACTCCCAACAGAGCTGCTGATGCCCTGTGGGCCCTTCTTAGGGTAGACAGTTGCTTGAGCTTTGAGAAAAATGATCCCCAGAACAAGGCACACAGAAGGCCATTTGACGTCCTTTGGAGATGGATGCTGCTCAGATGCAGCTGAGTTCAGGAGGGCATTTGTCTTGGCAAAATTAACACAAGATACAGTGACAGCCTAGCACAATCCCCATCTTCTTCTCCCAGGCTCAGCAGACCCATAGAGGACACTCAGGTCAGCATTTGGGAATTACAGAGCCACTTGCTGCTGGGTGCGGGACGGGGGATTGGGGGCAAGTCTCTTAGGCTTTTGCATTTTGCTGTCACAGCTATTTTGATTCTTGACTAATTCCAGGGACATCTGTGGAGTAGACAGCATGGGGCATTGCAAGGGCAGGTGAGCTCTCACTTTGCTGCTAATTATGGTTGGGTTTGCTTACATACCTTCTTGAAGGATTGCTGTTTCCTGAGGTAGGAGTCCCTAGCTATGACATAAATCCACCTGGAGATTCTCCATCACCCCATAAGACTTAGGGCCCTCGGAACTGCTGAGCATACAGGGTTCACGCTGTTAGCTGTGTGGTCTCTTCCCCGGGTGAGGGGCATTTTGGGACATTGCTAGCATCTTCAGTACTGGTGGGTTCATTTGTTGGCCTGAAAGTGGGGCAAAAGCCAAGAAACTGCACTTCTTCACATTACCAATTTCTCCAACCAAGAAAACAGAGGCCCAGGACTGGAAGCAGACCCAAGCTCAATGGGATTCAGCAGGTGGGATGGGGCTACCCCGTCAACATCAAATCCTTGGGACCCATCTATAAGGCAAGTTGGGAGGCAAAGAGGAGCTAAGGTGCAGACTGGACCAGGGGACCAGATGCTCTCTTCATGTCTTTCGTGGTATCTTGTGAGCACACCCTAAGGGGCAGGAGCTGGTTCTTGTGCCTTTATTGTGATGGTGAAATTCCCAGGGAACCCTGGTGCTGCTGCCTGCTCAGAGCTCCAACAGGGTCAGGAAGATCTGCTCTGCAGTGGGGTGGCCCGGCACATGGGGTTTTATGCTGTCCAAGCATACACCTATGTTCATCTGATACACACAGGACATATATGGTTCAGGAGAGTCAGCAGAGGGGCATTCGTGTGTTGCCTGTTGACACAAACTGCTTAGGAATTTACCAAACATGAGGTTATGTTGAAGAGTCAAAGACCAGCGGTGTAGGTTCATTTTATCCCTAATTTAAGAAAGGAAGGAGCTATGAGGTGATGAGGCAACTCTTGGCCACCTGCTTTAACTTCTCATTGCTCTTGGCTCAACACTGGAAAGCACATCCCACACACTCAGACAACACACATTTAAATGTATATAAATGTGCTAGCACACCTGTATATACATGCACACTCACTTTGAATTTGTGCAAATATGCCCCCAACTCACATTTCTCTACACATTCATAGAGTGGACGTAACGCTCCCATATGTACATATTCTCAGACATTCATGTGTACACATTTTATATATAAACCCACACCTACACACATACACACACAAACACATAGCTGTGAAAATAGAGTGGATGGTATTCTGACCCACTTCCCCCTGAGGTGTACATATACCCATGCACATTACAGACATGAAAGCATACACACATATGCACATGCACACACACACACACACACACACACACACACAGCTCTCAAGTGGATAGACCCATGCCACTCCAACTTTCCAATGCAGGCTCACACACGTAAGTATGCAAAGCTCTTAAGGAGGAAGAATAGAGTGCTGTACCACCTCCCATGAGGTTTGATGGCAGCAGAGGTGATTCACGGTGACTTGGAAGAGAGAGAGGAACAAGGGGGTGGGACTATGAACTGTTATTAGTAGCAACATAGAAAGTGCAAAGGTTCTCACTATTCCAGAAAAATATTACACTTCATAAAATCCATGTTTATTCAAAAAATCTCATGGGAAAGTCTGGAAAGCATAATAAATATCTGTACAGTGGCCGCCCGTCTCAAACAGACAAAGTGTGAATGAGGTGTGAACACAGAGTGAACTGTAAACGTAACTGCTGAGCGTGTAAATGCAGTGCGAGGCGGGCGCAGGGTGGTCAGGTGTTGTGTCACCTGCATGGATGAGCCATGCTGGCTTCGCCTTCCACCTTTTTCTGCCACACAGGGACCACAGAGTCCTTTTCCACTCCAGCTGTCTCACAATCTTGCAGGTGGTGAAGGGCAGCAAAACATGCCAGAGAGAATGAAGAGTCATGGCATATTTTCTTCTGTGCTTGAGAGAATCAGTACAACGCAGGCATCTTAAGGAACAACACCATTTATAAACAATACTGCCAACATTAGATAGCACAAGGTACTAGCTTCTTAAAAAGTCAAACAGTACCCCCAAATCAGGGCACACAGGTAGTTTAAAAATCACACATTCCGACTGTAGGACAGTGGATGCTCATGGCTTCCCCGCCATTGACTTTGGGTAGAATCTGATAAGCCCTGCCCCCTTCAGTGGGACACTTATCATGTTCTCATCGCAAACAGGACATGAGCTGCCAGTGGGATAGCCCAAAAGGGACCGCTGGGTAGGGTTATGGGAGGCCTGGGGTGTAGGCTGGGTTTCTCATGACAAATTCTGTAGCTTCCAAGACCCAAGCTGCAGCAGGGTGGGGGGCAGGGGGAACTCAGTCACTTGTGTAGAGAATAGAGAACCTTTCATCATGTTGGGTAAGGGTTCACTGGAGAGGCAAGGTCCGATAGGGACACTGGGGTCACATGCCACCACCGCCTGCTGCTGCACAGGAAACTTTAAAGAACAAAGATTAAAATAATCCCACCGCTACATGCTCTGTAGGCTGACTCTACCAAAGATTTCAAGTATCATGTGCTGGGTGACATGGGGAACATCGAGGTATTTCACTCTCCGTAGAGCAGGGCTGGGCCAGCATCCTCCACAGACATGTGACATGCTTCACAGACACGTCAAGGATAGTTTGGTATGTTGGTGAGAGTGAGTATAAGGCAGATAACCTGACTCTTTTTACCGAAAAGAGGAGATAGGACCGTGTGACCAACGGGGACGCGCTATGTTCACCTCCTCAGCAATGGCTTCTATGTTCTTTTGTTCTTTGTCTTCATTGCAACTCATAGATTTGAAATTGCAAATCCAGCCCGAACGCTGTGGGCACCTGGCACATGATCCATGCTGGAGAGGCCCCCGCTAGGACTACCTGCTATTGTTTTCCTCTAGATTTCTATCATGAAATGGAAGGACCCAGACCTCAAAAGTTAGTAGGGAAGTGATTTCAGCCTTGAGAAAAGCATTTTCCATTGAGAAAATATGAGAACTTCCCTAGGGACACCGTGAAAATGGCACACAGTCACAGTCTGTTCCCAGTCTTTGTATTTTATAATTTTCAAACAAAACAGAGTCCAGTGGAGTAATTAAAGCTTGTGAAATAAGTTTACATTTTGAGGTCTGAAATAATTAGACCGAGCAAAGGAATTATGTTCCCCACATCCCACTGGGGGCAGGGGCTCGGTTCTCCAGCTAAGTGAGGCACAGGAGGGGCTACAACCCATTTGCAGTCTTCCCAGTGCAAGCTTGCTGTGACCAGCAGGTGTTTCCTACACCTCCTGGGCAGAGAGGCTACCCCTCAGACTGGCAGTTTCTGAGCCACAGTGGAGTGTCCTCTGACCTGAGCCCACTACGGGGGTATCCCTGGCACCCCCCAGAGAGACTGGAGGATACACAAGTCCTCTTCCAGGGCCAGGCTGAGTGGAACATGCCATGCAGGAAGGGTCTCCCTCTACTAATCTGCACAAATAGTGTGCAGACAGCCTGCTCTGTGTCACTACTGCTCCCCACACAGACCACACCCTGAAAACACTATTGGTGAAGTGTGATTTTAAGACAGGTCTACATGACAGAAACACAAGATGCAAAACAGAACCACGGCTTTTGCGAAGTGCCATCACTCTGGTCGGCAGCCTGTCCTGGCACCTCTCTGAGGCCAAGGGGCTCATGTGTCTCTCCTGTCCTCATTCAGGCTAAGGAAGAGCTGGGGGAGGAAATAAAGTTCCATTTCTTTAGTTTCTCTGTAGACCAGGAAAACAGAGAATGAATGCACTACCACCACTTCAGGCAAGCACGTGCAGAGTTGCCAGCACAAGTGCCAATGGCAGAGCCCCGCATTCTCCAGTGTCCTCTGGGCCAGAGCGCTAGGGAACAGCAGTGCAGTGGGCACTGGCTCTGCCTGGCAACTTCAGCCATCATGAATCGGGCTCTCAAACAGGCTCAGCCATCTTGACTCTTGGTTTGGGGGCTTTCACCCTGACAAGTGAGTGACAGAGTCAGGGAGAGGCCACCCAGCATCTCGTTTGTGAACCAGAGGATGGTGAGGGATACTCTTTGGGTGATTTTGGACAGGACAGGCATTTAAAGTGGATGCCATCACACAGCCACTGGTGATACCAGAACACCCAGGAGCATCCCGCTCTTCCAGAGCAGCTCTGAGGTCCCCTGGCAGGGACCCTGCACTGACATTCTTAACTTGACAGTAGGACACCTTTGTGAGAGGCTGACCACTTAACTGACTTAAGAATGGTAAAACTGCTATGCTTTGGACATAAGCCATGACATGAAAAGACCAAGAGCCCCTGAGTGAGTTCAGGCAGGCTCCAGCAGGGTGCTATGAGGTGACAGGTTCATTTGGTTTCACTCAGGAGAAAAGGAGAGCGGGCGGCGAGGTCGGCACAGCAAGGCTCAGACATCCTGGGCAGGAACCTCTCCAGGGCTGCAAAGGAAACACAGAGACAGCCAAGGCCAGATCCATTTTTGTGCTGGACTCATGGTCACTCAGGTGCCCGTGAATAGGACCTGTATCTGGCGTCTGGGAGCCTGAGAGGACATCCGGCAGGGAGGCTGAGGCTGGAGGGCAGGCTTGGCCACTACAACCTGGTGGATGTGAGTCTCTTCATACCTCTGCGTTGGGCCAAACTAGAGGATAGCACAGGCTCCAGCCTCGGTGCCTGTGGGGTCCTGTTCAGGGCAAAGTAGGTGGCTGCCATGGCTCCCTGTAAGAGGAAAGGAGGGTGGGTGAGCACGGTGCCATCAAGATGGGAAGCTGGAGCCACGGGACCTCGAGAGCCTCAGTTTACGACCCTGTGAAGCAGGGAGACTTTACTCTAGGATTACCGGTGCACTGAGGGGTAGCAGGCATACTGCTGTGTCCACAGCGTCATCAGTCCACAAAAGACAGCTACTACCATGACCTCCCAGTCTCAACTGGGGCCTGTGCCTAGGAGTGCTTAAGACTGGGGTGGAGTTCAGGGGAGGATCATGCTGACACAAAGGCAGATGTGTTTGGAGGCCAGCTGAGTTCCCCAGAAATTCATAGCCAATGATTCGTAGGATCTGTCACTCTGAAGCAGTATGGACTGATTTGGGCATCTCGCTCATCTTAGTGCAACTTCACACCATTGAGAAGATCCCGGATGGACTTCTAACAGGACTAGGCTGGGACTACATGCACTTCTTAGAAGGATGGCACCATCTGCACTGCATGTCTACCTGACAGAGGTTGCTAGCACAAAGGGGACTTTGACAGATCTCTGGTCCAGAAATGAGGGCTCTGCAAAGCCATGGTACCAAGCACCACCCCTACACCAAAGCTGCCATTCAAACACAATTTCTGTACGTGTGCTGAGGTAACACTGTGAACCTGTAACTGGCGACTTCACATGCTACAGTTTCTTCTCTGCCTTGCTCCGGGATTCCCACGCCCACTAACAGGACCTGGCCACTCGGTACCTTTACTAGGTGGACGTCTTGTCTGGTCAGCTGGCTTTGGGGTAGGTACTCTCTGTTCACAATCCATGGGTGTTTCAGCACCTGAGCCGCTGTTAGGCGCTGCTGAGGGTCCACGTGCAGCATCTTGGACACGACATCCTGCCAAGGGTTCAGAGGGGAGAGGGGCCATTGTGTCGGGCTGGCCAGGGACTGCCCAGTAGAACACAACTGTAATTTTGAGGTGGTTTTTTTTTTTGTTTTTTTGTTTTTGCATTTTGGGTCAAGTGGCATCTAGGTTTATGAGTATCTAAACGTATTTTAAGTGTCAGTGATTACTGACTTAGCAGTAGGTAGAAAATTTATGTTTCACTGAAGATATTATAGCAAAGGTGTTTTAAACATGAAATGGCACACATAAGCTGCTGAGATAATGCTTTGATAAAAAACTGTTGCCTCCTACAAACACAAGAAACACCATGCAGGGGAACAATGCCCTTCTACAGAGAAACTCAGCGCCTCCTGGCATCTGGCTGCAGTGACCTCAGGGATGCTTTGGAGCAAGTCTGTCCTGGTGCGGCTCCTGCAGTCTCAAGTGTAAACAGGAAAGTCATGAAAACATTGTTTCCTCAAGGTCTCAAGGCTGTGACACGGTGTGCCAGCACACACAGATGTACATAAAAGCACACTATCAGGGCCAAGAGGGGGACACTCGGTGACAGAGTGCTCACTTGGAGTTGTAGTTTGGAATGGGAATGTTCCCCACAGGCTCATGTGTAAAGCCTAGGTCCCTATGTATCAGAGCTATGTTGGGATAGTCTAGAAACTTTGGGAGGTGGCACCATCTGGAGGAAGTAGGTCACCAGCAACAGGCTGTTAGGGGTATCTTATTGCTGGTGTCTTCTGTCTCTCCCCTCTGCTTTCTGTCAGGCATGAGGTGAACAGATATCCCCCACCACCTGTTCCTGTACCATGATATGCTGACTAAGCGCCTGGGAGCAAGTGAGCAGGAGCTGAGCCCTCCGAAACCACAAGCGAAAACAAATCCCTCCTTCTTGAAGTTGTTCATGGCAGGCGTTTTGGTCACAGTGAGGAAAAACTAACACACCCAGCATGCATATGGACCTGGGTTTGACTTCCAGTGCCACAAAGCTAATCCCCAACTAAGCCATGACAAACTCACAAAAGATCCAAGACAAGCTATCAGGGCTCTGTATGAGATACGGGGATGGGAGGTGCTGTTGTATGACGAGTAAGGAAAGGAAAAAGGACAGGAGAAAGATGAGGGAGGAGAGGGCACAGCAATGGGAGAGGCTGTGGTGAGGGTGAGGAGAACCAATGAGGTCTCGTGGGCAGCAAAGGCCCCTTCTCGTTCCTTCTCTGCTTTCAGACAAGGCGCCAGAACCCTATCCTGGTATGAGGTTTGGCACTGGGAACCCAAGCTAAGACAATCCCTGTATCATCTGAGACAAGGTGGCTATGTGGGAAGGAGCAGCTGGGGTGCTGGAGTTCAACACATGGGAAGTGCTCCCCAAATACCACTGTTTCTTCATCACCTCCACCAGGACCTCCACTCTCTCTCCCACCATCACCTCCACCAGGACCTCCACTCTCTCTCCCACCATCACCTCCACCAGGACCTCCATTCTCTCTCCCACCATCACCTCCACCAGGACCTCCACTCTCTCTCCCACCATCACCTCCACCAGGACCTCCACTCTCTCTCCCACCATCCCATCAGGACCTCCACTCTCTCTCCCACCATCACCTCCCAGGACCTCCACTCTCTCTCCCACCATCCCCTCCCAGGACCTCCACTCTCTCTCCTACAACCACCCCCATCAAGACCTCCACTCTCTCCCACCATCCCCCCCATCAGGACCTCCTCTCTCTCTCCCACCATCACCTCCCCCAGGACCCCCCCTCTCTCCCCCCCCCTCCCCCCCCCCCCCCCCCCCGGCCCCCCCCCTCTCTCCCCCCCCCTCCCCCCCCCCCCCCCCCCCGGCCCCCCCCCTCTCTCCCCCCCCCTCCCCCCCCCCCCCCCCCCAGGCCCTCCACTCTCTCTCCCACCATCACCCCCATCAAGACCTCCACTCTCTCCCACCATCACCTCCACCAGGACCTTCACACTTTCCCCACTGTTACCTTTAACATGACCTTTGCTGTACTCTCCACCATCCCTTCTCCCTTTTACAACCATATTCTATACCATCTCTTGCTTCTCAGGGACCCTAGCTGCCAGCCACTCTGTAAACTTCAGGCTTGTAGTCCTGGTCACAGCAGCTCGTTCCCTAAAGGCCACTCTTCTTTACCCTCTCTAGCTGCTCATGTCTACATTCGCCTCCATCCCTGCCTACACTTCCTATTGGTTCTGTTGCTCTGCACAACTTTACCACATTAACATCATGAAGAAGGTAAGATTTTCAATTAAAGAAAATCTGAAACACTCTGTGAATGAAAGTCCATAACGCTCATATGGGTGGCATCTCCGGCAACCCCACAAACAATATGCCTGTTGCAGAGTCTCCATGCCTAGGAGGTAAGAATACTGGAAACACACTCACTTTTGCCGCGTCAGATATGGAGTCCCAGTTCCCCCCAGAAAGGGCGTACTTTCCACTGCCAATCCTTGCCAGGATCTCCTCAGGGGTATCATCTGGTCCGTTGGCAAAAGGGGTGAACCTGTGTGGGAGAAGATTGATGGCCCTGAGCTTACAGCTCCATACCAGTGCTTTCTGCTGAGGGAACAATATCTGACCCTTTCTTTTCTGAGTCCAGGGCTTATGCCCTAGTGCCATGCCGCCTTCCTCACTTGGTCAGTTCTGGGAGTCAACAAGATGGGCAGGGAAGGCCTAGTGTGCACACTCTCTGGGCCCTTTTGGGTTACATTGGTGCCAGGATCCAGACATCACATGCTGCCTGGTAAGAACTCTGCCTGGAGATTTGGTTTCCATGATGACAGAGTGGTTCGGTGGCCAGGAACCTGAGGTGTGGAGTTTGAGGGACCCATGGGTTGGCCTACCACCAAATCTTGCCTCTTGGGCAGACTGGTTCTTGAACTTATGAAGGACACATCATGCACGTCAGGTTTATCCTTGTCCACCACCCTTACACAAGCTGGACACACATCAGCACACACCTCCCGAGAAGAGGAACATTCGATTCTCTTGGTGTTGCTTCCAAGAGAATGGCTCGGGTAGTAGAGGGGCTGTGGGCTGGTCTGCAGGAGGTGTGTACAGGAGCTGACTATTCTTGTCCTTTCCTTATCCCACAGGGTTTGAATAGTGATCCTAACACAGATGGGTTGGTGTTGTTTACACACAAGCATGGGGGAGGAGAGGAGTGAAGCCCTTGGGCCTGATGCTAACACCCCTGGTGGTCCTCCATTACCCAGCCAGCATGGTGTATAGCAGGATTCCCAAGCTCCAGACATCACATGCTGCATCGTAGCCTTGCCGCTTCAGGACCTGGAAGGGCAACAGGCATGGTCAGGATTTCACTGGGCAATACCATTTCAGAGTGGGTTTTCCTAAGCAATTGGGAAATAGTCAGGCTGGGGTGGTCTGCTGGGTCAGCCAGTCCTACCTGGCTGGTCCCTGCAGAGACAGGCAGAAGTTTTGCTTTTCAGTTTACCATATTAGCCACATTTAGGTGTGACATCCAGTGCACATTCACAGGGTGGGACAGCTATCCTCTAGACCTCCTTTACCCCAGACTAAAACTTTGTTCTTGTTAAGTACAAATTCCCCACTGGCCAACCCAGTCCCTGACAACCCCATTCTCCTTTCTTTATGAATCTGACCTTGCGAGGAACCTCATATAAATGAAATTATACAGTGTTGTCCTGGGACTCACAGCATAGACAGGAATGACCCTGATCATCCGTCTGTCTCCACCTCTTGAGCACCATATGTGCCACTATGCCTGCTTTATGTAGTTTGGTTTTGAGATGAGGCCATAACACGATGTCTAGGTTGGCCTCCAGTCCCTGAGCTCAGGTGCCCTTTTCACCTCAGCCTCCCAAAGAGTTCCAGTGGACTACAAATGTGTGCCACTGTACTCTATATGTCTTAGTTAAAGGTTATGAAGAATTACTAAGGAGGAAGAATTCTGACGAATCGTCACGTCACACAATGGTGTTATATGGGGGTAATCGTTGGATATGATCATACTTGGGTGACAGTGAGGAGCGCAGCCTGATGCTCATGGATCACTGCACATTGCTGTGATGGCCTGAACAAGCCATTAGAACCCTGTTCAGTTTCTTCCCAGGTGAGAGTGAGGGGTCTACTTTCATCACTGCCTTCCTGACATTATGTGCCATGGCGTAAGGCAGGTATTAAATGCCGAGTGAACTGCAGTTCTGAGTCACTGGCTGAATGACCTCCCCCAGTCATTTGAATGCTGACTTTGCTTTGCTTTCCTCACTTACGAAATGTGACTACTTGTATGCACTCTGTCAGTATCGTAATGGCCAAATGAGGCACAATCAGAGCTTCAGACCAGCTGTCTCCACAGGGGCCAAGGTTTCTCATGTGCCTGGACAACCCCTGGACAACCTGCTGCAGCTGCTGCTGCTGCTGCTTTGTCACTCTTAGACCTAGACCTGCCTGAGTCTCGCTCGGCAAAGCACATAGCAGTGTCTTCCTCTTAGGACCTGGAGCAGACCTGACAGTTCTAAACAGGGCCTGCACCTCTCCTGACTCCATCAGCACCACTAGTCCCTGCTGCCACCACTGTGGTCCCAATTTTCCATCAACTCATGCAAGAACCCAGACTCATCACTGCAAATGTCAGCAGTAGCAGAACCTATTGGAACTGGCCCCAGGAAGCTGGCAAGGGGGACAAGGTGCCCTTTTGTGATCCTCTGAGGTAAGGGGTGGGGAGCAGAGTGGTTCCCTTGCACATGTGAGCATTTGGGTGTACACTGTTGTGGGCCTTCAATATTCAAGCTGGATGGATGCTGACTTGTTGTCAAGGAAACCTTAGAGCAAGAATCAGGGTGCATCAGCACCATTTAAGTGTTTTTGATGGAAAGTAAAATGCTCATGGTAACTGAGTTGGCTGATTCCAGAGAAACCATGAGCTCTCCTCCCCCCACAGAAGGCTCACCTTTGTGTTTTGGGGTCACTGCTGAGCCCACTGTGCTGCCTCATTACCCCAAGCTCACTAGTCACTCTGTTAACAGGAAAGGCAGCGTGTTTCCCTCAGCCTGGCAATGCTGTCTTCCATAGGTTTGGGGATGGCTACCTCAGGGGCCACGAAGTTCGCTGTGTAGCACGGGGTCATGAGAAGTCCATTCTCTGCTCGAAGCTGCTTGGCAAACCCAAAGTCACAGATACGAATAGATTCAGGGTTTCCAGACTCATCCATGTAAAGAATGTTACTTGGTTTCAGGTCCCGATGAACAACCTGGAAGGCAGGAAGCATTCATCAAGGCTGAGTGGGAGAGAAAAGGAGGGTATGCGAGAGGCAAGGGCCACCTGGGAACTGATTCCTGGGGCAGGTCCCCATGGCAGGAGAAAAGGACTATGTTCTTCTGAGGGGCCACCCTATCTCTCTCACCCATGCTGGTCACTCATGGTCAAGTATCCACACGGTCTGCCTCCACATAGGACTGTATGGCGAATAAAACACACCCTATCTGAGACGCAGGAGCAGCTGTTGGCACTATGCCACAGAAGGGCTTGTGACAGAGATAAAAAGGTTCCTGTGCTTTTAGTTCATTCAGAGAAAATCGGCCCACAGTGGGGTCTTGTGGAGTATGCCAGTGCATGGGCCACTTATCACTTATCGAGGGTACCAGAAGCACGGTGCACCTGCCATGGTGACTCCTGGCAGCAAGAGGAGGGGCTCATGGCTGCACAGACTGCATCTGCACCATTCAAGGCACAGACTCCAAGCATGTTCCATAATTACAATGACAGCTGTCATGACAGAAGGGCCAGCAATACCACAAAACAAAGCAGCTATTTAGGACACAAAGTGATGCCTTCTGAAGGGACAGAAGGCCCTTTTGGTGTGCCTTCATGCAGTTGGGAACCCGAACATCCCAACTGTCCTCCTGTGGAGCAGTGGGAGGTTCTGTTAAGAAGATGGAAGTCATACCCTTGGGCAATCGGGCCCAGTTCATAGACACTGACAGCAGCCTACAGGAAGACTTTTGTCTCCATCCTCATTAAGCAGAAGAATATCTGTGAACTCTCACACTCAGGATACTTCTAGAATCTGGCTATTGGGAAAACTATGTGTGGAACTCCTGGATCATGGGAAAGTCCCACAAAAAGGCACTGTGAGATCCTGGAAGTACTGTCCAAGCTGGCAAGCCTGCATACACAGTTGACCCAAACTTGATTTATGAGACATTCTGAGTAGAGAAGGAAAGACCAGAGGAGAGGGTAGGGGGAAGGATGGAAGGAAAGGCAGAGAGGCACAGGTAGATGGAAGGATGAAGGGGAAGGATGAGAAAAAGACACAGAAAATGTATTACACTGGCTGCTCCCTCCTTGAGACAGAGAATGTCACCTGTAGCTATGCAATGTGGACTTGGGTGGGAGGGTTAGCTTAACCAACGTGTGCTTGGTCCTCTAAGACATATAAAGTGCATGGTCCGGGATTTAGAAGTGAGTCCCCGAGAAGCTTGGTGCAGTCTGGGCCACCAGAGGCTAAGGGGACCCAGCTGTTAACCCTCTTTGTTTAGCTTTATGTATCATGTAATGAAAATTCTAAACCTCTCTTTATCAAGGTCAGAGCATCAAACTTTCCTTGGTAAAACTGGCTTACATGAATTAATTAACTTAGTTCCTGTGTAACATATGTCCAGACGGGGAGCAGAACAGGTCACAGCAAGTCACATCTCTTGGGTACCCTGTTCAGAGGTGAAGGAGTTAAGAGGGCATGCACAGAAAGCACTCTGTCCCCGTTTGCCTAAAGATGTCAGTTTACAGAGATTCCTCACCTCTGCATCCACAACTCCACTGCTCTATGGTCTTGCATCTACCTTCCTGTAAAGTTGCCTGCATTCCTGTAAAGTTGCCCACCTTCCTGTAGAGTTGCCTGCTGCCCTGAAGCTGGGCCAGTGCCCTGGCCTGGTTTTTGCTGCTGTGTGTGCAGGTAGCCCCACCTGAGTCATTTCTTGCTCCTGTAGGCTATACAGCACCCTAGCCTGGGCCTTACCCCTTGGGAGTGCAGGTAGTCCATGGTCCTGGCAATGGTGTAGAGCACGTCACTGGCCTCACGCTCTGAGAAGCACCGCTGACGGAGGATGCGGTCCAGCAGCTCCCCGCCTCGCATGAGCTCCATTACCAGGTATACGTACTTGCCATCATCATAGACCTGGAAGCCAAGGGGAAGCACACGACACCTCAGGGACCTGTATGTCACCATAGCTGCTGTCCTCAGGCCCCTGGCTATGCAAAGGAGCAAGGACTTCAAGTGGGGTGGTGGAAAGAAGCTGGAGGCTGTGTCCCAATGAGTAAGATCAAGTTGTCTGACTGTTGTAAATGGGTGAGTAGCCATTCCAGCTACACAGGAGTGGCTCTTCTTAGGAGGGAAACAGCTTTGCAGTCTTGGAGAATGAGCAAGCTGGACCGGGGGAAACCCGGGGGCTTGAGAAAAGTTGCTGGGTTGGGATATGTCATAAAGTTACACTGCCAGTCTCTGTGAGGTAGGCACACCCTAGGAAGGAAAGTGACAGTGGTGACGGCACTCTGCAAGGACAATGCTTCTCAACTGTCATCATGCATGTAATTTTGGGGGTCAGGTCAGAGTGCATGTTCTGACTCTGTAGGTGTGGAGGGGAGGGGACCTGGCTCTAAGAAACACTCAGCTTTCGCCAGTACTAGCTTTAAACTCAGTTTAAAAACAAAAAGCAAAATGTAAACTAGCTATTTCTGTGCCCTGCATATACAAAGACTTCCACATAGGTATCCCAGTCACCAGTGCATGGAGCCAGTGGAAACCTAAGCTTTAAGAACCAGGTGAAAATGAATGACAGACCTAAATGGCTTATTCTTAGCTCAGTGATAATAATTTAATTGATGAATTTCCAGAACAAGCTACTAAAATAATTTACCTGACTTTGACCTGTGTAAAAGGTGTGGAGCTAATTCTGGTGTTTTGTTTCTGGACTTATGAGTTCACTGTTCTATTTTGAAGGTGGGAAGATGACGCTATTTCAGACCTGGTCTGCTCACCTCCAACAGCAGGGAGAGCCATCTCTGAGTCTCCAAAGGAGCTGGTTTTGGTTCTTACATGTGAACCAAGAATGAACAATCAGAGCACCATGCTTGCACAGTGAGGGGTCCGAGCCACCCAGGGTTTTTATGCTTGTGCATGGCGTGCTTGGGTAGAGTGGGGAAGGATCCAGGGCTGTGCATATGCCCAGTTATGTGTGTATGCACCCAAGTTTGGGTGACCAGTCACCAAGGCACTAGAGACCCCTGGGTGGGAAGTGTCTGAGGCAGGCGATAGGAGACCCTCGGCACACTGAACAACACTTGCGCTATGCCAATGGTGGCATTTTTGTGTCAGTTGAAGGAAGGAGATGGAGAGAGATGCTACAGTCACTTACATCTTTTAGGGTGATGATGTTGGGGTGCTGACCATACCGCAGGAGGATCTCGATCTCTTCTGAGGGGTCCCTTTTGCTCTTATCAATGATCTGAAGCACACACAGCAGGTAGCAGTGAGAGATTTGCTGCTAGTCTTGTTGGACCCTTGCAGATAAAGAACCGAGGCCCCAGAGAGCCACAGCATAGCTGTCCCCCACCCCCACAGTACTCCCACCAAGCTACTTAAAATTTCTCAGAAATGTAGATCCAGTCTCTCCTGTCTCCGCTGGCAAAAAGGGTGCAATTAAAAAGAGGAAACCAGGTCTGTAATTCCAGCAACAAGGGAGCATGTAACAGGAAGAGAGCAAGTGGTAGGACCGTCGAGGCAGCTTAATGACACCCTGTCTCAAAGTAAAAAGGATGCCAGGGATGTAGCTCGGTGGCAAAGCTCTTGTCTAGCATGTACAAGGGCCTAGGGTCAATCCCTAACAACACAAGAAAGAAGGGGACAGCCTGTAGGCACAAATCTCAAGATATCAAAAAGGCCAGATGCAGTGGGGGCAGCTGTGGAGAGCTCACCCAGTCACAGCAACTAGCACAGTCTATGGCAGCCACTGAACTCTGGCATTAAGCTCTCAGTTCACACAGTCAAAGTGAGCTCCCAGTCACAGAGGCCTCGGCTTTGTCCTGGAAACTGCAGGCCAGCCACAAAACGTAGTAATGTTGCAGGTCCTCCCAGGAAGTTGCCGGAGGCTGAGCAGACTGCATTTCCCTTGGGGCCAAGACACACACCCCTCTCTTTTTTGGTTCCCCAATTCCCCTCCCCCAGTATTTTGCACAATGTAGAATAGCAGATAACTATTTAACTCCAGGAAGATGGGTGGCTTTCCCTTACTCAGTGCCACAAATTAGAGCCTGCCTTTGAAACAGGAGTCCCTGTGCCCCTACATGATGGCTCTGACACCTCTGAGAGTGCCTTGCTTCCTATGTTTGTGGGGAGCTCTGGTGGAGAGAGAGGAGCTGTGTGTGTGCAGTAGACATCACTTAGGTTGAGAATGACTCGTAAATGCAGAAATGTCCCCCACCCTCTAACAGTACTCTGTGTCTTTGTACACTGGCACTGTCCAGTTCCAAAGCCTCTCTGCTCTGACTACATGGGCAACCCACACCCAACATATTCCCTTTGAAATATATTCACAGGCTTAGACAACTTAGTGGTAGATGCATGTGTTTCCCAAAGTCATTTTCATGATAAAGTCATCCACTCCTAACATCAATCTGGTCTCCTCCCAAGGAGCCAGATGCAGAATGAACAAGAGGAAGTCTTTTGTCAACTGCTACGGACACTTAAGTTGGAAAAGAACCACAGGTGCATCCTACACTGGCACTAGTTTTAAAAGCAGAAAAGGAATGGAGACAGACACATGCATTTCCTTGAGAATGCATAAATAATCCTGGGAAGGAAGAGGAAAATATCAAAACCTTGGCTTCCCAGGAAGGGGGAAATGGGTAATGAGGGGTTGGAGCTATGGCTGAGAGACCCTGAGATTTCCTTAAGTATAGCTTTTAAATCTGGATCATGTGAATGCTATCTGTTACAATTTAAATGTGAGAATACTGTAACCATCATAAAAATACCTGGGACCACAGGTGCTCGACCCATTTCCTCACTGAACTGTCTGTCTTATTTCTATGTGTTCTTTGGATGTATGTCATGAGACAAATTCTGATGAGTAGTGATAAACACTTGTGAACAAATGCCGTCTTTTAAAGACCTTAAGATCTCACTGATATGGAATAACATTTTAAGACTGTAGTAAGAATTAATGTGTATGTTCAACTAGGAGGCACGCTGGAGGACGCGCTGGTTAATCTGCTAGAGTATGGCAGGCACCTGGGCATAAACATTGTGTGCCATAGCATCACACTGAATATCACTTGTTCAGTGAAACTTGCAAAGCAGCTCCAACAAACACTGTGAGTGAGTGAGGCATTCTCTCCGGCGACTGCTGAGTGGCTGCAGAATATACAAGAAGATCCTTCAGGGAGTTTCCTGGTGGGATGGCTTCTCAGGAATTATGTGGTTGCATTCACTTCCAACTAGAGCAAATCCTGTGGACCATGTTCTTGGCTCTTCTCTCCAGGTATACGCTTGATGGCAGAGACAACCACAGTCAAAGGCAGGGGAGGTCTCTGCTTCATTGCTCTTCTTTGCACCAGGAAGATGCATAGAAGTGTCAGGCAGCATCCTGCCCACCGCGCAGCTGTCCCTGCTGTAGGTGTGTTGTGCTGTGCAACACACTGCTTCCCACTCTCCTCAGAGGTACTAAGCTAAGACTGGCTTCCACAGTGGCTGGTGCAGGAAGATGGCTTTTTGTAGCAGGGGAATCGCATTTGCTGGTGGCTGCTGCTGCTGTACAAGAGTCTTGGCCACTGGGGGCTAGAGAGATGGCTCGCCAGTTAAGAGCACTGACTGTTCTTCCAGAGGACCCAGGTTCAATTCCCAGCACCCATGTGGCAGCTTGCAACTGTCTGTAACTCTAGTTCTAGGGGATCTGATACCTCCACCCCAATGTACATAAAATAGAGGTTAAATAAATTATTTTTAAAAAAATGAGTCTTGGCCACCATCAAGGCATTTCCCCAACTTCTCCATGTCTGTGTCTGTACGTGTCCTTCCTTGTACTTCTCGAGCTCCCCATCACCAAAACACCGCCTTTCTAGGTGGTGACCTTGAAGGCTGGGTCTGAAGGCAGCAAAGTGAGCACATGGGTAAGCAGGATGCACTCCTCAGGCCCAACACTTCCTTTCACTTGCTGGAAGGATCACAGTATGTTGGAAGCAAGTCAAGTACAGCATGTAATTACTTGAAAAAATAAAAATAAAAAACCTAAGACGTTTTCTCCTGTAAAATTAAAACAAATGACAAAGAGAAAGAACTCCAGTGTTTTCTTAGGAGGAAAAAAAAATTAAAACTTCCATGCCATTCAGTTCTTCTAAAAATAAGCTTTCCCCAGGCCAAGCATCTGTTTGATTCTACTTCCTTGCTGGCTGACAAGTTCTATACACAGAATGAAATTGAGCATAGGCAAGCAAACTCTGCTGTACACAGATGACATGATGTGAGTCCAAACTTTGGCTCCCATGGGGAGTGAGGCCTGCCCTGTCCTGGGTGTGGTGGCCACATCCTTTGCTGTAGTTGAAAACACGGTGACATACATACAAAAACAGCCACCCAATTTCTGACAGAGAAGCCAAAAACACACTGGGCAAACTGGCTGTCAGGACATGGAAGAATGGGCCCTCTCACCCTGCATACAAATCAGAGACCTCAATGATGGTGACAGGCCATCAGGCCCGACCACTCCTTGGGAGGGGGGATAGCAGCAATGAAGAGCTGTTGGGGAGGAGATTAATATTCTTTCGTGGTGCGGCCACAGATAGGTTGCTCTGGATCAGACATGAAACTCAACTCAGTAGCCAGAGGCAGAATGGCCACAGAAGTGGGGGCGGTTTTGGGAAGAGGAGAAGGTTCCAGAGGGAAAAGGAGGCAACAAGGAGTGGAAATGACCAAAATAAACAATTCAGAAAGCTTTGAGAGAACAGGGCAACACACACTTTAGAACAACCTTAAGGCTCTTTGTTTAATTTTTATTAATTCATTTCTTTTGCTGTATATGTATGTGGCTATGCATGGCAGAGAGCACATGTGAAGATCACAAGACGGATTGCTAGAGTTGGTTCCCTCCTTCCACCATGTGGGTGCTGGGAATGGAACTCAGGTCATCAAGCTTGGCAGTAAGGATCTTTATTTTTATCTGATCCAAACTATAGGCATTTAGTAACAACAGGGGTGCTGATGAGGAATGTGGTCGTTGGCTGCCTCGTACCGGCCAGGTCCACCTGCATCCCCCAAAACTTCAGCCACAGGAGGCGGTTTCAGTAGAGGTGCTTGCCTGTGCCAATGTGTGTGTTCCAAAAGGCAAGGGCAAGAGGAAAGGCTACCTGAAGGGCGTCTCTGTCAACCTCCGAGTTCCAGTTATCCTATTTTTGTTGTAGATTCGGATACTGTGATCAGAGACAAAAGCTGTCAGAGACACAAAGAAGATGTGTCAGAGACAGAGCAGCCTCCTGAAGGAGAAGTTAAGGGTCCACAGGCAGTGTGCTCTCTGTTGAACAATTTTCTAGGTGTTGAAGAAAGATGATCCAAAGTTGAAGTGCAGCTCTGGAGTGCTTCCCTCGTAACTGAGCAAGCCCCACAATGCATGAGCACAGGCCTCTTTCGTCTACCGCTCAGTCTGCCCTGCCTCCACACACACCCAGCTTTCTTGAGTTCACAGTCCTACAGAAAGGCTTGCATAGGCTCTGCTCACTGGAGCAGTGTGGACACAGAAGTTGAACTGTTGGCTCTTCCATCTTTGAAGGAAACCCAGTGAAGGTTCAACCCTCAGAGAAGTGGACTTACTGCTGTCCATCCACAGTGGCTTGTGTATACCTTAGTCCACACGTGGACACTGAACTGTGTCTTGCCAGGAAGCCATGGCTTACCATGGTAATGTTCTATCCAGGGAGAGTTAATTTAAGCATTTTCCAAATAACAAATTAGGACTCACTGTACTCAAAAAGGGCAAAGGAGTCCCTGCATGTCCATCACGTGGTTTGTCCAGGGAGTTTTAAGACTTAGAATGACAAACAGGCTCTTCTGCTATTGTCAAGTAGAGATATAACACCTGGCTTTTCTTCCTAGGGTGTACAGGTTGGGGGAGGGGCTGTCACAGATTGCATGGAGTCACACCTCAACAGGATCTTTGAGAACAAGAGTCCTAACTCCAGCAAAGCTGATTACAGATGGGGACTCTGCGTGAGAGTTGGATGTGGGAACATAACACTGGCCTTGTCAATGGGGCTGAGCTGCGGGGCACAGAATTGCACTGAACAGCAGCGGGCTGTTTCTAGAAGAGCTCTGTGGCTGCCCAGCTGGCCACACAATGGATGTGTTTCTTAGTGCTCTCTGGCAACAGTGTTTGCTTCTAGGAGTGCTGCTGGCCTCGAGATAAACAATCTGAAGAATTTCTCTGAGAAACAACTAACAGAGAAATACTAAGAAGCCCACGCAAGCCACAAAGCACTAGAAAGTTCTGGGGTGAGGTGAATACAGATCCTCTGTTAAACCCCCAGCCATGCACAGTCTAGACCTGTATCTGTGCCCCCGAGAGGATGGCTCCGTGACACTGGGTGGTGAGCTCCTGCTTTGACTGTAATCACCTCTAGGCCACAGATTCCCGAGATGTTTTGCTGCTGTCTTTTTTTGCTAGGCTGCTGAATGTTTTCACAGCCTGAGAAACCTGGAGTAGATGGCCTGTGAAGATGCACTTTCTCTTGAGAAATGTACACTGTCAAGAAACGGCAGTGGATGCACAATACCCCAAGGGCACCAAGTAGCTTTGGAAGAATCACAATTGGTGCAAACAACTCATGTTATGTCTTGCTGGCCAGCTCCACCTCCCCCGATACTCTCTGAAGAGCTGGAAGAGTGCCACATGCCAAGCAGAGCCAGTATGGTTCCTGCCATGGTGACACAGGCTCAGACTTTGTCCCTCAAGCCTGTGTGTGTGTGTGTGTGTGTGTGTGCGCGCGTGCGCGCGCGTGTGCGCACGCATATATGGAGGTCAGAGAACAACCTTAGGATTCAGTCCTCCCCTTCTACCTTATCTGAAACAGTCTCTTTCTCATTGTTTACCTCTGTGTACACCAGGCTAGCCAGCCTAAGCAATCCTCGGGATTCCCCTGTCTCTGTCCCGACCTCACCTGGGAACACTTAATAATACAGATGTGTGCTCCATATCTGGTTTTATGTTGGCTGTGCAGACCTGAAGTCAGGTCCATATACTTTGTAGCAAGTGTTGTACCCACTGAGCCATCTCTCCAGCCCTGTCTTATGTGTCAAGAGTGGGTAGTAGAGGTGTAGAGGTTAGACCTCCTCACGGTTGTGGAGAGAGAACACACAGTGTGCAATGTATGGCATGTGCTTCTGTGTATGTTGGATGCTGACTTCAGAAGAAGGACTCTTTAGCTTTTACTAACTAGAAAACCCTAGACATTGGCATTTTGAATTCCCAGGCCAAATATTTAATCTATAACAGTTACAGAGGTGAAAATGACTATCTAGAGTTTGCCAAATTGGATTACAGGTATTACAGGTTTTGGTGGTTGGGTAAAGCATTAGCTGTCTCTTTTATTCTCTATTTCTATTTATTTAGATTATTTTTTCACAGCCATATCTTTTTTCCTTCCTCTTCCCCCCTTTCCTTCCTTTGATAAATGCTATGCCTGTTTGCCCACTTTTGTCTTCTTAGATACTGTGTGCCCAGAGCTATTATTCTTGGCAATGTTATACTTAGTTACTGAAGACGATTGGTTCCACGTTGGACATAGCTGGAATATTTATGACTTGAAAAGATTTTTTTTTGGTTGAGATAGGGTCTTGCTACATAGTCCAGGCTCGTCTGGAACACCCAGCTTCTCCCACTTCAGTTCCCTGAGTGCTTTGGTTGCTGTTGTGTCACCACACCCAGCTTCAGAATAATTTTTAAATGGTTGACTTCATATCAAAATAAACTAAAGTCCATCACATCAGAACTCAGAAACTGTGGATGGAGAGAGCCTGCTCAGCATCTGAGCTCCTCTAATCCAGGGATCCTTGCCTTACCTTCACAGCATACTCGGCATCAGTGGCTTTGTGTACACACCGCTTGCACACTGAGTAGGAGCCCACTCCAATGTCCTCCTTAATCTCGTAGCCATCAGTGAAGTGGATATTGTTCCCATGTAACTGCTGCAGAGAGGCCAAGACAGGGGTGGTTAGCAACCGTGCACACAGCTGCAGGTGGCTACAGATATACAGATCCAGGGCACCCTGGGAACTTGTGAGCTCGAGGAAACTAAGAGTGCCTTGCCCAAGGTCACAGAGCTATGCATAGGTGGTTCTAGAGCTCCTATGGCCTACGGATTTTCATATTCAGACACCTGGATATTATGTGCCCATTGAACACTTGCTTTTCTCCCAAAGACTCCTGGTATTGAGAATCCATGGAGTAAAGCTGTGGCAGTGAGAATCTGTGGAGTAAAGCTGTGGTGGTGAGAATCTGTGGAGTAAAGCTGTGGTAGTGAGAATCTGTGGAGTAAAGCTGTGGTGGTGAGAATCTGTGGAGTAAAGCTGTGGTGGTGAGAATCCTCGGAGCAAAGAAGCACACATTTGTATGTGGCTGCAGTGCTATCTCCAGAGTGAGTGTCCAGATAAAACACCAACCCCACATGTTTAAGCCACAGACCAGCTCTGGCCCACACGTATAGTCCCCACTTGCCCACCCCTGAGAATGAAAGCCCCACAAACCACAGCCACAAGGGAGACAAATGCCAGGAAAATGCAATGCCACCTATTACACTGAATGAAGACATCAAGTGCTAAGTGAACTTACTCTGAATTCTCTGAATTGTAGTTATAGCCATATAATGACAGAAGTCTAAATGACTTCCCCACTGACCTCCCAACGACATGGCACCCACAGCTCACACAAAGATAGGGGCCGCTGTCACAGACATCCATGGTGATTATCTCCTCAGACTTTTTTCCTCTTTAGAAATGAATGTATAATGGTTCACACCACCAGGAAGATCTACCATACCAACACTCAGTAACATCTAGGGGCAGGGAGATGTCTACCGTTGATCCATTGTTAGCACCCAGCACCGAGCTGATGAAAATCCACAGGGTCTCCAAGGCTAGGCATCAAGGCCCTGAACTGAGCTCCTGGGGCAACCAGACGTACCTGCACAATTGGATGAATAGGGGCCTTGGGCATTTCTTGTTGTGATGGCTCCTGGACCAGGCTGGAGGCCACAAAGCTGAATCCTCTGAACAGGTGATGGGCATTTGCACTTGGGGGAACTCCGGGGGAGTCTGTGGATGAGCAACACAAGGTTCACATTTCACGAGAGCCAGGGAAAAGCAGAGGTGTCCACACGTGTGTATGAGAACACACATGCAGCCTGCGTGTTGGAGAAGGTATATACAAGTAGAGAGGAAGAAACACGCAAGAAACTTTCAGGTGCTGCCCAGAGTCTGATTTGGCAAACACATGTCACATGAAAGTTTTCAGATAGTCACTGATCACATGTTTTTAGGTTACCGACTTTGGAAGTTACTAAATATTCTTCAGCATAACCTGCCACCTCTCCCTACTCCAGATCAAGGCAAAAAGCAGCCAGAAGCTCTAGGGGACGTTGCCGAAAGCAGTGGTGTCACCACCTTTCTGGGCTAAACAGATGCTGTGCCCCTAAAGATAGCCAGAGAAAAGTAAAGAATTTCTCCAGTCCACATTCACCTACATCCTCTACCTCCACCCAAGGCCAAGCCCACAGCCAGCACAGTCCCTTCCACAGCTGCACAGCTCTGTGCCGAGGCTACCCCACTCTGTTCCTCAGGGGCACATGGGCAAAGTCATTGCCTCCCACAGTCCAGCAGGTGAGTGAAAGGGGTGATGTTTCTAAGTTCTGTGAGGTCTGTCCAGAAGCATGACTGCTATGATAAGGGTCTCTTCCAGGTTCACCATTACATAAACGACTGGCTGGCTGGGGAAATAGGTGACAGGCAAGAAGGAGCAGAGGAAGCCACCCTTATGGTCACCATGTCTGGGAATGTACAGGCACGTGCTTATTAAACAAATATTAAACAAATGACACTAAAGCTAAGGAATCCGTAAAAGTGAGAGTAGCCAGCCACATATAGATTTGGCCAAAGGAAAGCAACCTCAGAGCTGAAGGAGGGAGCCTGCATTGGTTTGTCTTCTTGGAAGAGGAGGGGTGGGGGATGGGCAATGGCCCCTGCACTTCCAAAGTCACATGTCCCCTGAAGAGCCAGCATGCATCTAGGAATTTAGTCCTCAGAATTATTTTCAAAAGTACCAGTGTAGAAAATGCTGTCTTTAGCATTATTTGTGACAGCAAAAAAAAAAAAAAAAAAAAAAAAACA